ATTGATTGTTTCTGGCAAGACCATCCTATCGTACCTCCATTATAAAAGTAAATTCTACCACTATTAGATTTCCTTTCGGTTCTTTCTTCTGCCCAATTTGCATCAGCATATCCAACAAGACTTTGTTCATTTTCATCATTGCTCAAATTAAGTTTTAACTGTGAAGTAGACTTAAGATATTTCAGAACCCTTTTACATTGAGACCAATCCTCCATTGTAGGGTTGGCAACCTTCTGAGCCAATATATTTACTGCAGCTGAAATGTCTGGTCGAGAATTGACAGAAATATATAAAAGTTGTCCAATTAATTTTCTATACTTCATATTTGTTTCAAGAAGTGTTGAATCTTCTGATTTTCCGTAACTAACATCCATTGGCGTTTTTACATTTTTAGAGTCCTGCATACCATATTCGTTTACAACTTTTCCAATATACGAAGATTGAAAGAGTTGAAAATTTCCTTTGTAATCTTGTGTTATTTCGATTCCCAGATAATGTTTAATTTTTCCTAAATTAACTATAGTGAAATTCTTTGACAAAGTATTACCAATATAATTCATCTGCGTCGATGTATTGCATGCTACAATTATGTCATCAACATAAACAAGAATGTAGCTCAATTTCCCAGAAATATTACCATAGTAGAAACATAAATCATTTATACACTGTTTGAAACCCATTTTTTCAAGCGCTTCGTGTAAAACCATATTCCATGATCTAGCAGCCTGCTTGAGGCCATATATACTTTTCTTCAATAGACAAACCTGCTCATTGTTATCTTGAAATCCTGGAGGTTGTTGCATAAAAATGGTTTCAGACAGCTTACCATTTAAAAATGCAGTCTTTACATCAAAATGATTAACCATCATTTTTTCTTTTCCAGCAATTGACAGCAGAATTCGAAACGAGGTATGTGTTGCAACAGGTGCAAAAACTTCATCGTAATCTACGCCGAATTTTTGAGAAAATCCTTGAGCAACGAGTCGGGCTTTAAATCTATTTACTTGTCCATCAACATCACGTTTCACTTTATATACCCATTTACTTCCGATTGCTGTTCTACCTTCGGGTAAACTGACAAGTTCCCATGTTTGATTTGCCTGTAGAGATTCTAGTTCATCTTGCATAGCTTCCAACCACTGCGCACGCTCGGTACTGTTAATTGCATCGTGGTATGATTTCGGTTCTCTAATTTCATTCGCTGACCATATTTCTTCAATTAGTCTTTTCGGTGCAGAACCTTTGTTGCATCTTTTGGATGTTCTAATATGTTGCTCACAAATATTGCTGTCTTGTGTTGAGTTAGTGCTTTCTTCATTTGGAATATTTATTGAATTTTCCTCTATATTATTTTCATCCGGTAAATTATTTCGGCCCTCAATTGGAATATTGATTGTATTTTCTTTTACTGAATTATTTTCGGGTATCTCCTCCTCAATCAATAATTCCTTAATCCTTGGATTTAAAGAAATGGAAACATTTTCAGCATCTATCTTGATAAAATCTGTGAATATCACATCGCGACTAATAACAACCTTCTTAGCATATTGATCATAACAACGAAAAGCCTTTGACTTCTCATCATAACCAAGGAAAATCATTTCGGTTGCTTTGCTGTCAAGTTTACGCCTTTTTTCAGTCGGAATATGTACAAAACATTTAGATCCAAAAACGTGAAACTTATCTACACTTGGTTTTATTCCGTACCATAGTTCATATGGAGTAGCATTGGTTGTTCTGGTTAAAACTCTGTTTTGTATAAAATTTGCTGTTGCAACTGCTTCTCCCCAAAATGTGTATGGTAAATCTGCCTCTGATAACATACACCTTGCCATTTCTATTAAAGTCCTATTCTTTCGTTCCGCCTTTCCATTCTGTTGTGGGGAATAGGGAGCAGTGAGTTGGTTTTCAATACCCTCACACTTGAGATAATCTTCGAATGCTTTTCCTGTGTATTCTCCACCTCTATCAGATCGAATTTTCTTAGGAATCTTACCGAATTTAGTACGACACAACATTACAAAATCTTTGAATGTCTGCAAAACTTCCGACTTTTGTGATATTAATCTTATTACAGTGAACCTAGAGAAATCATCTATAAATGTCACTATGAACCTTTTTCCAGATGGTGTAGTGGTTTGCATTGGACCGCATACGTCACTATGGATTAATTCCAAGGGAGCTGTAGATTTCGTCATTGATTGCCTTGGAAATGACAAGCGAGTCATTTTGCCTTTAACACAACTTTCGCAAATTTCCTTTATACCACAACCCACAATGTTTAAACCTTCAACCAATTTCTCATTACACATTTTTCTAATTGCTTCTGGATCACGGTGTCCAAGCCTCCGATGCCATTGATGTATGCAATTCTCGTTGTGCTGCAATACTGCATGAACAAAATCTGGTTGTCGCAAAATATACATTTCACCGTCAATATCCGCAATTCCGATATTATTATTTCCAGAATTTATGCAGCAATTATTATCTTTAAATGCAACGTTGTAGCCAGATTTCGTTAGTTGCCTTACCGAGAGAATGTTACCAACTAAACAAGGAGCATATAGTACCTCTCTTAACGTTATTTTATGTTGGTTACCAAATTCATCATTCGTAATAATCTCACCCTCACCAATACCTTCAATAGCAATGGTTTGACCATTTGCTAATTCGATCGAACTCTTGTAATTGTGATTGAGATTCTTGAAAAACTTTCTTTCATTTACTGTATGTCGTGTTGCTCCAGAATCCACAAGCCAACAAAACTTCTTAGTATTGCCAATCTTGAATAAAAAATCTTCACTTTTGTTTTCTTCATTTACCTTTTCTTCGATTGAATTGATTTTATTGGGATTCTTTCCAGAATTTTGCTTTGTTTTCCAATATTTGTACTTGGTGCAATTCTTCTTTTGATGTCCGGACTTTTTACAAAAATAACATACACCATTTGTCCCAGCCACCACTTTTAAAATTGAGTCGTTTCCCTCATTGACTGAGTGTTGTTTCCTTTCAAATTCTGCAATTACACGTTGCTGCACTAATGCGAAGGTAATCTCTTCTTCCTTGCGAGATTCAAGCGATGTAATTAAGGCATCATATCCTTCCGGAAGACTGCTTAAGAGCATGGCAGCACTCCATTTATCTGACAAACCTTCTTCGCCGACATCCCGTAGTTTAGTAAATAAATCGTTCATTGCATTTATGTGACTAATTGCGTTACCTCCTTCTTGAAGTTTTAGACTACATATTGACCTCATCAAATATACCTTATTGGTGAGTGTGTTCTTTTCATGGTAGTCTTTAAGAGCGCTCCAGGTAGCTTTAGCCGTTTTCGCACTTCGGATGTGCCCAAGCTGGTCATCCATAACGAGCAATCCAATTGTTCCCCGTGCCTCGTCATCTTTCATATCCCATGCGTCAAGTTCTGATTGATTCACAACTTCATTACCTTGGTTTCTTTTGGGTTCGGGACGAGATCCTTCTATTACCTGCTTCCATAAATTATTCTTTCGCAACAACAATTCCATCTTGAATTTCCAGTTTGCATAGTTTTCGTTATTGAGTATTGCGAAATTTGGTTTTGAATCCGACATCGTATCCTTTTAGTTATCCGTTTTAAAACTTCCTGAAATCCGTGCAAATATTTCCTGATTTCTTTAAATTCAACTTGAAATCCTTTGATTATCCTTTAGATTTATTGAAATTATCCTTTATGTCCTTGATCCTTTATCCTTTACACAAAAAGAAGGCCCATAACCTATTGAATTTATAAAGGCCGACAAACCGTTCTGTTCGATTTAAAGTTTATTAACAGAATAAAATATGAAAAACAGAAATACAATTTTCATTACATTAAACAAAATTCAAAACCTACTAAGGATGAAATTTAACAAGTGAATGTATTCAAAGTATAATCCAATACTAAAATGTATATTTCGAGGTGTTACAAACGGAATGACAAACTTAATATACCCTCCATACTATGGTGGAGGGTATAAAAACATTAAGTTCGGCCGGGCCAAACTTTTAATGCCCTCCACCTTAGGTTAAAGGAAACATTAGAAGAAATGTGTCAAAAACCATTAAAATTCCGAATATCGGAAGGTACCGTTATATGAGGGCTATGCCAAATCGTGGACCTACACATGCAATGTTTCGCCAAAGGAGCTAGAACCCATTATGACCTAGAAATGCCAATTTTCAGACAAATCCGTGTAAAAATGTGGCAAAAATCATCAAATTACCGTATATCGGGAGGTACCTTTATATGGGGGCTATACCAAAACGTGGACCTATACATGTCATGTTTTGCCACATGTACAGGGACCCGTTATGACCTACAAATACCAATTTTCAAACAAAGCAGTGAAAAATTGTGGCATAAATCATCAAAATACCGAATATCGCGAGGTACCGTTATATGGGGACTATACCAGAACGTGGACCGATATATCTCATTTTCAATACCAACATTCCTAGACACAATACAAATTGCTCTGCTAAATTTTGGCGCTCTACGTCAAATAATGTGGGCTGTATCGTGATTTCAACAGACAGACAGACGGACAGACATACGGACATCGTTATATCGACTTAGAATTTTATGCTGATTATGAATATATATACTTTATGGGGTCTACGATGAATACTTAAGGATGTTATAAACGGAATGACAAAGTTAATATACCCTCCTTTCCAAGGTGGAGGGTATAAAAATAACCATTTTGCAATGTCAATTTGCTATTGGGTCTAAAGTAAATAAACCGTTAATGTTTGTCCTTATTTGGGTTTTGTTTGGAAATGGTGTAGTCGATGTAATTTAAACATTATATAAATGCGCATCACTCGCACTTCAACTGTAAACGATTCTCTATTTTGAAAAATGATCCATCAAATTTGTTTTTAAGAATCGTCTTTCATTTTCAAAACGCTACTGGTTGGTGGCGGTGACCTGTTACACCTATTGTTCCTCCTACATCGCCCCCTCACTTTTTATTTACCTGTGCCGATGTGTTGTTGTTTTGCAAATGTTTGTAGGAGTGCTTGTTGAAGAGGGTGGTTGAGGTCTCGTCCGGCACACTCATACCAATGCCGGAGCTGCTGCCAGATGATGAACTTGTCTCGACCTTGCCGTCCTCGTTACACAGGTTGGCCGAAGTGTTGCTGTCATTGTCATTGTCGATGCACGGCGTCAGAGGATGTGAGAATGTCATCGGTGTCGTTGAGCCATTGGTGTTCGAGGACAGCAGCGGGCAAATGGATGCTTCCTCCTCGGGCAGAAATGTTGACACCGATGGCGATTCGATCAAAGTGCGAGGCAACTCTACGTCGAGCAATGCGGGGTCGGTAGAGATGCCCATTTTGTTCATATCACTATGCACGGAGTGGGCAGACGGACTTTTTCCAATGTCGATTTTCAATTTCAGTTTTCAAATTCCTTTTTGGTATTACTTCGCTACTGCAACGTAAGATGGATAAACATAACCACAATCACAGCGAAATGAAAATTATGAAAATTCTCTACAATTTCTGCGGTGGAAAACCCGTGAGGCCGTCGTTCTTACTGCGAGTGGATATAAACTGATGAGCTCTGCAAATGAGAACTCGCTGAGCGCTCTGCGTTTGTGGTATTTGGTGTGCTGGAGATTGGTGGGGGGTGGTTGCCTGGGGGTGAGTGCCAGCGCTCGCTCGATGTGTTTATTTTTATCATCCGCAACAAACAAATAAACGAATTTCGTATTGAAATGCTTGTTTATGCGTTTTTTTTTCTTTGGTTGCCTTCGATTCGAAATATGCTGGCCAAGCAACCAACTACTACAGCTTCTATTGGAACTGCAAACAACAAAGAGACGAGTTGAACGAACAAATTAACGTTTCAATTGATTTCAATTAATTCGTTTGACACAAATTAATTTCAACTCAATGTGGAAGTTTGTATTTGGTTGAGTTTTCACTGTTCCCGAATTCAAGTCTGTCGTCGACGAACCAACTATGCGACTGAGAAAAATGTTCAGATTTTGTGAATGGATGGATATGAGAAAGAACGTGACGACTGTGTTGTTGTGGCCGAAGAACAACAGCGAGTGCGCCGTGAGAACTTCTGTGTGGATGCCATCCACTGTCAACGAACATTTAATTCAGTGATGACTGATGGGGGAATTTAGTTTTCGTTGGGAAATGTCTATGAAATGAAAAGAGGAAAGGCGAGTTGTATTTACATCTAGGAAATGCAACTCTGGGTAAGGTTCACGAGTGTATTTTGCCAGTAGGTAGGTTAAGTTCAGTAAAGTTGGGTCATGTCGGTAGACGTTTTCGTATAGTACCCTTATAACGGTACCTCGCTTTATTCGGTATTTGGATGATATTAGCTACATTATTCACTGAAATTGTTTCAAAAAATCAGCGAACGAAAACAAACGAAACGATTAACGTTCCCCTCTCACGAAGACACAAACTTTAAAATTTTTTTCAATCGTTTTGTACTCTAAACAAAATCAAACAACACACATTTCAATGCCTGAAGTACACAAAAACAAACGATTGCCTTTATGTACTTCGGCTGTGAGTTGCCGAGCTGTATCGTTTGCGAACCAATCGCCGGAAAACGTTTGCAAACGTTTGCTGTGCGAAATGATGACTGCTACATTAAGAGGTGATGTCCTTAATATTGTTTTTTGCCCTTTTTTACATTGTATTATTATCAAAAAATGAATAAAAATGAATAATTGTAACTTTTAATTAGTTTGTACATTATTCGAGTTGAGTTAATATACAGGAAAACGTTTGCAAACGTTTGCTATGAGTATTGTACTGTTTCGTTTCCAATATTACGTCATCCAGCAGAGTACATTTCAGTTTTGTTTTTGTTTCCACTCACCTACAGAAACAGTACAAAATAAGAAACAAGACCCGTTATCTTAATATTGGTTTTGTTTCGTTTCGTACTTCGAGAAAATACGGTACGGAACGATTGCAAACGTTTCCAATAGTTTATTTTCGTTCGCTGCAAAACATTATGCGGGACCACGTCTTCGTATGGCCCCATATAACGGTTTTAATTTGAGCTATATTTTTCGACGGATTTTTTTGAAATTTCCCAAGTTTCTTCCAAATGGTGGAGGGAATTAAAAGTTCGGCCCTGCCGGACTTATCTGCTTCTTTACTTGTCTCATACTTAGTTCGCTTATAACAAAAAGTTGAAACGTATGTAAATAACTAAGCATTGCCAAATAAGGGTAAAATTGGTCTCCTGGAGGGGTCTTCGCGACAGAGATGATGCTACACGTAGTTCGCGAACTAAACATAATTAAATTGAAAATTAATGAATGTAATTACAACCCATTTTGTAATTTTTTCCTATTCGTTCGTATTTTCCACAAATGAAAATACAATTTGGTTTGTGTAACAATTTTGTTTTTTCTTACATTCATGTAGAGCGCTAAGTAAAGCTACAATACGTCAACTGAGGATTGTAGGCACAGGTCAAGGAGATTTGCAGGTAATCTACACAAAATAGAATGTGCGGAATAGGACACACTTTTAGACTTGCATTATTTTAGGGTAAACTAATTTAGTTATCAAAAGAGAAGACTGTTCTTCAAATAGGTGCTATTTGTCTCCTGTTTTTTATACCCTCCACCATACTATGGAGGGTATATTAACTTTGTCATTCCTTTTGTAACTCCTCGAAATACTCATGTCAGACCCAAAAAAGTATATATATATTCTTGATCAGCGCAAAATTCTAAGTCGATTTAGCGATGTCCGTCTGTCTGTCTGTCTGTTGTAATCACGCTATCTTTCGAACGAATTGAGATAGAAGGCTAAAATTTTGCACACATTTTATTTTGCCAGTAGGTAGGTTAAGATCGTAAATAGGCCACGTAGGTCCACATTTTCATATAGCCCTCATATAACGGTACCTCCGGATATTAGATATTTTGATGATTTTAGCGACATTATTCACCAGAAGTGTTTCAAATTTGGTATTTGAAGTTCAAAATGGATACTACCGCCTAAGACAGAAAATTGTCTGTGCAGGTCCACGTCTTCGTATAGCTCCGATATAACGCTACCTCCCTATATGCGGTATTTTGATGATTTTAGCTATATTATTCACAGGTTATTTCAAGTTTCGAATTTGAATATGGTAATGGCTTATGACAAACAAAGCCTATGTAGGTTCACGTCGTATTTTTAAGATTTTAACAGAATTTTTAACGGATTTTATTTTTTGAAAATTTCTAAATTCGTTCCAAATCGTGGAGGGTATTCATAGTTCTGCACGGCCGAACTTGCTGCTTTTTAACTTGTTTAGATTTGTTTTGATGTGACTCAGGCTCGCTTTCCTATGGTTGACGTTATTTTCATATTTTTTTATACCCTCCACCATACTATGGAGGGTATATTAATTTTGTCATTCCGTTTGTAACTCCTCGAAATATTCATGTCAGACCCAACAAAGTATATATATTCTTGATCAGCGTAAAATTCTAAGACGATTTAGCCATGTCCGTCTCTCTGTCTGTCTGTCTGTTGTAATCAGGCTATCTTTCGAACAAATTGAGATATAAGGCTAAAATTTTGCACACATGTATATTTTCCCAGTAGGCAGGTTAAGTTCGTAAATGGGCCATGTAGGTCCAAGTTAATATATAGCCCCCATATAACGGTACCCCCCGATATTCGGTATTTTGATGATTTTAGCGACATTGTTTACCGGAATCGTTTCAAATTTGGTATTTGAAGTTCGTAATGGATACTTCATCCTAAGTCAAAAAATGAGACATGTAGGTCCACGTCTTCATATAGCCCTCATATAACGGTACCTCCCGATATTCGGTATTTTAATGATTTTAGCGACATTATTTACAGGGATTGTTTCAAATTTCGCATGTGAAGTTCGTAATGGATACTTCAGCCCATGCCAGAAAATTATCTGTGCAGGTCCACGTCTTCGTATAGCCCCCATATAACGGTACCCCCCATATTCGGTATTTTGATGATTTTAGCTACATTATAAACAGATTTTTCTTCAAGTTTCGCATTTAAATATTGTAATAATTTATGACAAAAGTTGCCTATGCAGGCCCACGTCGTCGTATAAGCATTCAGTATTTTTAAGATTTTAACAGAATTTTTAACGGTTTTTTTTTGGAAATTGCCAAATTTTTAACAAATGGTGGAGGGTATTAAAAGTTCGGCCCGGCCGAACTTACAGCTTTTTTACTTGTTTTTATACCCTCCACCATTCTATGGAGGGTATATTATTAATTTTGTCATTCCGTTTGTAACTCCTCGAAATATTCATGTCAGACCCAACAAAGTATATATATTCTTGATCAGCGTAAAATTCTAAGACGATTTAGCCATGTCCGTCTGTCTGTCTGTGTGTCTGTCTGTCTGTCTGTCTGTTGTAAACACGCTATCTTTCGAACAAATTGAGATAGAAGTCTAAAATTTTGCACACACGTATATTTTCCCAGTAGACAGGTTAAGTTCGTAAATGGGCCATGTAGGTCCAAGTTATCATATAGCCCCCATATAACGGTACCTCCCGATATTCGGTATTTTGATGATTTTAGCGACATTATTCACCGGAATTATTTCAAATTTGGTATTTGAAGTTCGTAATGGATACTACAGCCTAAGACAGAAAATTATCTGTCCAGGTCCACGTCTTCATATGGCCCCCATATAACGGTACCTCCCGATATTCGGTATTTTGATGATTTTAGCGACATTGTTTACCGGAATCGTTTCAAATTTGGTATTTGAAGTTCGTAATGGATACTTCATCCAAAGTCAAAAAATGAGCCATGTAGATCCACGTCTTCATATAGCCCCCATATAACGGTACCCCCCGATATTCGGTATTTTAATGATTTTAGCGACATTATTTACAGGGATTCTTTCAAATTTCGCATGTGAAGTTCGTAATGGATACTTCAGCCCATATCCACGTCTTCGTATATCCCACATATAACGGTACCCCCCATATTCGGTATTTTGACATTATAAACAGATTTTTCTTCATATTCGCATTTAAATATAGTAATAATTTATGACAAAAGTTGCCTATGCAGGCCCACGTCGTCGTATAAGCTTTCGGTATTTTTAAGATTTTAACAGAATTTTTAACGGTTTTTTTTTTTTTTTTTTTTTTGGAAATTGCCAAATTTGTACCAAATGGTGGAGGGTATTAAAAGTTCTGCCCGGCCGAACTTACAGCTTTTTTACTTGTTTTTTTTTTTTTTTGTTTGGTAACTTAGCTTTTATGGTATTTATACCCTACAACACTATGTGTTGGGGGTATTATAAGTTTGATTGGGCCAAAAATTATGTAGCACCTCGAAATATTGATTTCCCACATAGGAAAGTATATATGGATCTTCCTATCTCGCCGAGCTGAGTCGATCTAGCTATGTATGTCCGTCTATCCGTCTGTCCGTTTGTCCATGTTAATTTGTAATCACTCTACAGGTCGCAATTATGGCCCGATCTTCACGAAATTTAGAATGGAGGTGGGGCTAGGGTCAGAATAGAACCCTATTTCTTTTGGAGATGATCGCATAATATTTAGGGGTCGAAATGAACCAAAAACTAAAAAAAATTCGGATTTTGCAGTAGCTATAAAGGTCGCAATTATAGTCCAATCGACGCGGAATATCGCATGTAGCTAGAGTTTAGGGCGGGGAAGAAGCCTACCAATTTGGGTGGTCGTCGGATAATATTTAGCGGGTAAAATAGACCATATCTTTTGTGTTGAAAAAATTCAAAAATATTCATTAAACCGCGATTATTTTAAATCCCGGCGAAATCACAAAGCCATGACAAGGTTACTTCTGATCTTTACATTGATGTTAACATCCAACAAAACGGATATATAGCAAAATATGTGCGATATATATGTCTATCAAAGAAGATATGCTTGAAAGATCTCATATATGTCGAGAACGGCTGAACTGATTTCGACAGTTCTCATTAATTCAGAATGGCCTCTTGGCAGGAAAGGAAACACGTCTAAAAAACGAATACAAATATCTCTCTAAAGATGAAAATATTGATTTTGTAATATTTTCTCATATTTTTTCAATTTTG